GCTAAATCCCCGGCCCTATTAATAGTATTTTATAATTCAACATGTCTGTTGTGTGTTGCAGTGGATGTACTAAATGTGTCCATCTGACAGTCTTAAATGGGGGTTATTTTTGGAGTAGGGCTTATAGTCTGAGCATCCTGAAAAATCATGCAAGGGCTTATTTAATATAAGACAATATTATGAACAGCTATCTGTCAACAAACTGGTAACTTAGAAGAAACAGGTAAATTGCTAAACCTTCAAGTAGTAAAACTGACTCGTGAAGAAACAGCCTGAGCAGACTCATAACAAGTAAGGACATCAAAGAAGTCATTTAAAATCTCTTTAATAAGAAAAGCCTTGGACCAGACAGCTTCACTGATGAATTTACTAGACATTACAGAAGAATATTTTTTTTTTGTTTTCTGAGATAGGGTCTCCCTATGTAATTCAGGCTGGCCTTGAACTCAGGGTGATCCTCCTGCCTCAGCCTCCTGAGTGCTGGGATTACAGCCGTGCACCACCACCCCTGGCATAAAAGAATTAATATTAACCCTTTTGAACACTTCAAAACACTGAAGAGGAGAGAACACTTCCTTACTCACTTGCTCTGTGTTAGGTGTGATTTGTGTGTGGCCCCAAGGGTTGGCCCCTGGGTGGTAATGTGAGAATGGGGGACTCGGGGTGGTGGTGGGGAGGTCCTTGGGGGCGTGGTCCTGGGGAGGGATTTAGGTGGGTATTGTGGGACCTCTGAATTCTCCCAAGAGCAAGTTGTTGTAAAGCCTGGACCTGAATCTCTAGCTTCGTGCCTGGCCTTGTGGCTTCCTGCCTCCCCCTCCCACATGCTCCCACCATGTGGTCCAACATATCCTCAACAGGGCTGCTACTGTGCTGTTTGGAATTTCATCCTGCAAAGCAAGGAAATAAAGAAACCTCTTTTCTATCAAGCTACCCTGCCCCACAGATTTCATTATAGTGATGAAAAACGAATACACCATTCCAGTACCTGGGAGGCTGAGGCAGGAGGACTTCTGTGAGTTTGAGACCAGCCTGAACTACATAGTGAGACCTTGTGTAAAACAAAAACTCAAACAACAAAAACAAAAACAACAAAAAGTTGGAAGACTCATATTTCCTGATTTAAAAATATAACTACAAGCTGCATGTGATGGTGTATGCCTGTAACCCCAGCAAACTGGGAGGCCGAGCCAGGAGGATCCCAAGTTCAAGTCCCCCCCTAAGTAACTTAATGAGACCCTGTTATGGTTTCTATTTAAATGTCCCCTCAAAGCCTCATGTGCTCATAGGTGGGGCTTTTGGGAGGTGGCTGGATCATGGGTATATGATAACTGGATTAGTCTACTGATAGGTTTAGCATAGTTCTGGGTGTGGATGATGGGAAGGCCCACCTTGGATGTGGGAGACACCAACCAATGGGCTTTTTTTTTTTTTTCCGGTACCGGGGATTGAACTCGGGTCTTTGTGCTTGCATAGCAGGCAGTGAAACCACTGAGCTAAATCCCCAGCCCACCAACCAATGGACTTGTTGCCTGAATGGAATAAAAAGAGAAAGGAAGGCTTGCTGCTTCCTGCCCCCTGCCTGCCCTCCATGGACTGTTTCTCCTGTGCAATGCTCCCCTGCCATGCCACCCTGCCTAGGAGCCAGCTATGGACTGAAACCTCTATAATCTGTGAGCCAAAATAAACCTGTCCATTTTTAATGCGTGAGTATTGGGCATTTTGTCCCAGCAATAGGAAAGTAACTAAGACAGACCCTTGGGCTGGGAATGTAGCTCAGCAGCACAGCTCCTGCCTAGCAAGAGCAAGGTCCTGAGTTTGATCTCCAGTACCAAAAAAACCCCCCAACAGACTTTTACTCAAAATGAAAAAAAATAAAAGGAGCTGGGGACACAACTCAGTGCCAGAGCACCCATGGGTCCGATCCCCACTACTGCACACACACACAAAAACACCTCACTGAGAAGCTATGGAACCAAAACAGCATGATACTAGCATAAAGACTGACAAATCCATGACAGACTTCCCAGCAATGTTGTTGGGAAAATGATACTCACATGCAAAGAAAAGAAGTTCGGCCCTTATTTTACACCACACACAAAAATTAATTCAAACATTATACAAGATATATCCAAGAGCTAAAGCTACAGAACACACGGGAGAACACGTAGGAAAAAAAAGCTTCATGACAATGGATTTGGATTTGGTCAAGATTTCTTGGTTGTTTATTTTTTTTTTTTTTGAGACAGGCTCCCGGTATGTAGTTTAGACTGGCCTTGAACCTTGAACTCACTATGTAGCCCAGGCTGGTCTTGAATTTGAGGCAATCCTCCTGCCTCAGCCTCCTGAATGCTATGAGTACAGACATGCACCACCATGGCTGGCTGTATTTACTTATTTTTGAGACAGGGCCTTGCTAGTTTGCCTAGGCTGGGCTGACACAACCCTCCTGCCTCAGCCTCCCAAGTCCTGCAAATAAAGGCATGTGCCACCACACTTGGGTCTTGGCTTTTGTTTCTTGTGCATCAAAAGCACAGGCAAGAAGGGCCGGGGATTTAGCTCAGTGGTTCCGGTGCCTGCCTCACAAGTGAAAGGTCCCGAGTTTGATTCTTGGTACCAAACAACAACAACAATAAATTTCTCTGTATCTTTGGGGCAGGGATTTGGCTCAGTGGTTTCGCCGCCTGGGACCCGAGTTCGATCCCTGGTACCAAAAAAAAAAAGCACAGGCAAGAAAAGAAGAAAAAAAAGAGTTTTTACTCAGTGGTGCCACACCTGCCTTGTAAGGTCCTGAGTTCCATCCCTGGTACCAAAAAAAAAAAATTAAAATCTTGTGTGCATCAAAAGACCATTATGAGAGTGAAAAGACAACTCACAGAATTAGAGAAAATATTTGCAAATAATGTGTCTGATAGGACATTGATATTAACATCTAGAATATATAGGAGCTCCTACAAGTTAGTAACAAAAATATAATCCAATTCAAATATGGGGAAAATCTGGGTGTGGTGGTGGATGCCTGTAATCCCAGCACTCAGGAGATCGCTACCGGAGTTCAAAACCAGGCTGGGCTGCATAGTGAGACACTGTTTCAAAACAAAAAAAAAAGTGGACAAAGAATTGTAAAAATGTACATACAAGGGCGGGGGATTTAGCTCAGTGGTGCTGCCACCTGCCCCGAAAGCACAAGGTCCTGAGTTCAATCCGTTACTACAAAAAAAAAAAGTAAATGCAAGTGGACAACAGGCACATGAAAAAGATATCCATCATCATTAGGTATTAGGAAAATGCAAATCAAAACCTCAAAGAGGGCCAGGGATTTAGCTCAGTGGTTTCGCTGCCTGCTGCGCAAGCACAAGGACTCAAGTTCGATCCCCAATACCAAAAAAAAAAAAAAAAAAAAAAACCAAAACCTCAAGAAATACCAATGTCTACCTGCTAGGATGGCTATAATTTAAAACGTGGAAAATAACAAGTGTTGGTGAGGATGTGGAGAAAAGAGAAATGGTTACCTGCATGCGAGTGTTTATCCAGTATTATTCACAACAGCCTCAAAAATGGAAACACCTAGGGCCGGGGATTTAGCTCAGTGGTTCCAGCGCCTGCCTCGAAAGCGCAAGTTTCCCAGTTTGATCCCCGGTACCAAAAAAAAGAAAAATGGAAACACCTTTGTGTCTGTAACAAGCGAACAGATCAATACAATGTGGCATACGCTTGTTGTGGAATACTATTTAGCTACAAAAAAGACTGAAGTCCAGACACATGTTACGACTTTGGGTGAACATTGAAAACATGCTACAGCAGTCAGTCCTAGAACAGCAGACACTATTATTGCATCAATCTGAGCTTCTCAGAATAGTCAGATCATGGAGAGGCAGAAGTACAGTGCCCTGCAGGGGCTGGGAGACAGGCACAGGGAGCTGGCATTTAAGAGGGACCCAGCTCCTCTGACAGATGAGGAGGTAGATGCACAACCTTGTAGCTGCTCTGGGCACTAAAATGTACGCGGAAATGGCTCTCTGGGCTCCTCCGAGCCTCCAATCCTGCTCGCGGTGGCTGCTTCTGCCATCAGCCAGGGCCAAATGGCCCCCGTCGCTGTGTATGTGCATTTAGCTGCTAGAGGCTGAGGTCCTGCTTCCAGGGCAGAGGCTATGTCCCCAGCCGTGTTCATCTCTGCCTGTCAGCAAGGTGTCAGACTGCTTGCTCCAGGAGCGCAGCTGCAGCCAGGCCAAGGTCTGGGCCTCTGCGCCACCTCTGGTGGACAAGACCCATAGGAGGTGACACCTGGTCCCCTACAGGGCAGTACACCAGGAACCCAGCTGCAAGTTCTGGCAGAGCAGGGTCCCCACCCTGGCAGGCCAGGCACCCTCGCACCCTGCAGCCAGATCGGCCAACTGGGGAAACGGAAGGGAGACACAGGTGTCTGTGTATAGAGGCTGCCATCCAGGGACTTTGTCTTCTGCAGGGCAACACCTGTTAGCACTAGGACTGGCGCGAGCGTGAGACAGGGATCCAGGCAAGGGACCCGGCCTGACACACGCAGCATCCCTGGGCATGGGTGGAGTCAGTCCTGAGTCACAGGTGACTCCTGCTGTGCTGGAGGGCATAGTCCAGCTCCGGATAGCTTGTTCCTGCCTAACCCTTTCCTCCCCTTTTCCTCCCCTGGGAACTGTCCTCCTTAAAGAAGGGTCAGGAAGACTGCCTCCTTGAGGTAGGGGGGATGCTCTCAGGGAAAAGCTTTCAGGAACCAATTAAATTTGAATTTCAGATAAACAGTGAAGCTGTGAGGTAGTATATGCCTATAATCCCAGCACTCTGGAGGCTGAGGCAGGAGGATCACCGTGAGCTCAAGACCAGTTTGAACTACATAGTGAGACCCTGTCTCAAAAAACAAAACACAGATGGGGATGTAGCTCAGTGGTTCTGCCACCTGCCTCACAAGCGCAAGTTAATCCCCGGTACCAAAAAAACCCCCACAATAAAACCCACAGATGAACAATGAATACTTTCTTATATCCCAAACTTGGGATGGGTCATGGTTATGCTGTATTGGGAGCTTGGATCCAGCTGGATGTCTAATTGGGAAGGGACAGGGCAGCCTTGTAATCAGGTCTCCCGGCCTTTTCAGAGCTGAGTCCACCAGATGAGGCCCCTCATCCGCCACCACTTAGCTAAGCGATGGTTCTGGCTTGTACTCAATCTTTAGTTTTCCAATCTGCAAAATGGAGGGATGTGATGAACCTGAAATTGTGGCTGGGGGACCAGCAGGAAAAGAGGTTGTGAAGAAATGCTGAATTTGCCAGGCATGGTGGTGCACGCCTGTAAGCCCGACATTTGAGAGGCTGAGGCAGAAGGACTGCCAAGCATTTGAGACCAACCTGGGCTACACAGTAAGCCCAAGACCGGTGGGACTGTTTTTTGTTTTTTTTTTTCCGGGGATTGAACTCGGGTCCTTGCATTTGTGCAACAGGCAGTGAAACCACTGAGCTAAATCCCTGGCCCCAAGTGAGACTGTTTCAACCAACAAAGAAATGCAGAATCCTAACCCTGTTCTAGAACTGTTTCACTTGTTTATTCTGTGGTAGAAAGGATTAAACCCAGGGCCATCATCCAAAGCTACACCCCCAGCACTCTGGGAGGCTGAGCCAGGAGGATGGCAAGTTGAGGCCAACTTGGGCAACTTGGTGAGTCCCTGTGTCAAAGAATAAAAAAGGCCTGGGATGTCACTCAGCACAAAGCTCCTGGGTTTGACTGCCAGTACTGGAAACAATAAAAAGCTCCCGGTGAGACCTGCTGTACACAGGAGTTTGGGGGCCACTCTGTGGAGACTCAAAATAGGCCATCAGTAATGTCACCTCTGAGCTGGCCCCCGAGAGGGGTTCCACACATCTCACAGGAGCCCCCAGAAGGGCAGTTAACCCACTTAAAACAAACCCAGATGTGGCGCACATCTGCAATCCCAGCACTCTGGAGGCTGAGGCAGGAGAATTACTGACTTCAAGGCCAGCCTGACCATAGCCAGATCCTGTGTCAAGTAAAAACAAACAAAAAGCAGCCACAAAAAGCGGCAGGGGGCTGTCACATGGGAATTACTTCCTAGAGGATGATACTCAAGGGAAGCCTCCCTGCTCAATTCAACCTTATCAGCTCCTGGGGGCACGACCCCCAAGGGAGAAGTCCTGAGCAATTCCCCAAAAGCTGAATCATTAATCCTCGGCAGATGGAGACATAATTAGCTGGGATGAAACATGCCTGGCACGCCCTGTCCTCTTGTCCTTGCTATCGCACCGCCTCAGTTATCTGATGGAGGCTTCCCCGCAGAGCCCTGTACTTTGAGTCCTTTCATTTTCTAATGTGTGACTTTATTCTGTCTCCCAGTGTTTTTCAGCTCCTATTGTTTATGTTGGCAGCAATCACTGGACCTTTCATCTTCAAGATGGGCTCCTCTCCACCAGGTCCATCCATAGCTCCCTCCCACCCCTCTTGTTTCAGGATAAACTTTTCCTTCAGTGGCACTGGGGTTTGAACCCAGGGTCTCCACACTGGGCTATATCCCCGGCCCCCTTCCTTATTTTAGATTTTTTGAGACAGGGATTCACTAAATTGCCCAGGCTGAGCTTGAATTTACCACCTCCTGCCTCAGCCTCCTGAGGGCTGGGATTAACAGGTTCTCCACCACGCCTGGCGTGAAACCTCCCTCCTACCGGATGAGGGCCTCGTAGCACTCTCCAGCAGCCTAGCCTTGCCACGGCAACAGCTCTGTGGGTCTGTGTGCTGGTTATGGTCTGCCTCCATGCCAGGCCTGAGAGCCCAGAGAGCAACACAGCAGCCTCATGCTGCCCAGCCCAGCACCTGCACCCAGTGGTTTCCTGGCTCCAGGTGATGACCAGAGACCCTCACAGGTGGCCCAGACACACAGGGCCCAGGGATGGGCTGCAGGCCAAGGCACCACTGCACCCTGGCTTCCAACACTCCCTGAGCCCCAGGGATGCATGGCCCCCTTTTGTCCTCCTGGCCACATGCACGCCTTGTCCTGAGTCTGTCCTGGTTGGGGCACCAGGTCAACATACAGGCTCCACTTACAGGCAGAGTCCAGGAGGTAGACCGCCACCTGGAAGCTCTCCTTCCCGGGGACCACGGGGCTGTGTGGATGTCACCACAGCCCCACATGCATCCTGTTCTGTGGCCTAGCCAGCACAGCTTCAGCCAATACAGGGCTGCAGCAGCCCAGAGAGGGCACAGGTGGCCCAAGTGCCTGCCTCGGCACTTGCCCCATGTGGCATCAGCCCCAGTGGCACCAGTTCACCAGGTGGCAGCTCATGCCCCTTACCCCATGCTGCTGGACAGCCCAGAGGCCTATGCCTGCCCAACCCTGTTGCTCCCTGACTTCACGTTCGCAAGGGACCTCCTGAGCCTCAGCCACCAACTAGGAGCCCAAGAAAGCCCTGGGGCTGCTGGGACTCAGAAGTGGCTGTGTGGGGAAGAATCACCACCTTCACCAGAGCCCTTACCTAGTGCCTCTGGTCCCCACCACCCAGGACACTGCAGGGTGCCAGCTCCATGCTCACCCACCTTGTCCCCCCAGAGATTACCCTGGGGAAAACTAACTTCCTGTCCAACCTGGGGGATCTGCAGCACAGGCCCTCCACAGGGTGACAAGCTCAGGCAAGCCCTGGGGACAGAGCATAGTGCGACCACAACCAGCACACTCACTGTCCCTGGGTCCCCAACAAGGCAGGGGGAGACCAGAGTGCCAGCCCAGGCCCCAGCAGTTCCCTGCACCTGTCGCCCTCCTTGGACACGTCCCTGCCAGAGCTCATGGGGCTACTGTCCCCAGCTCCTCTGAGCCCACATGGAGACTGCCCCACACCTCCTTCACACCTGCTGATCTCTGCCCCCTGACACCCCAACATTCAGCAGACAGGAAGTCCAAGTATCAGGGTCTCCACACAGCAAGGCCAACCTGGGCCTGACTTCACTGGTTTCCACCTTCTCCTGCCCCCATACCCTCAGACCACTCCTGTGATGCCCGGTGAGCAAGTGACACGTAGGGGACACAGGGGCGGCCTTGGGCCCCACCCTCAGGCCCCAGAGGCCTGGCATGCAACCTGGAAAGGTGGCTCGGTGCTCGGCCAGGAAAACAGGAGACGGCACAGGAAGGGCGTGTGTCACACCATGGCTCCTTCACCCAACAGGTGAGCTGGCGACCTGGGAAAGCAGCAGGGACAGCAGCCCTAGCACTCTAAACCCGATGTGCACATGCTGGGGAGCAGGCAGCCCAAAGTCAGGAAGGACAGCCACCAGGATGCAGACCCTGACGGGAGTCGCAGGGCCACAGAGGTGGCTGTGGGCTGGTCCGGGAACCAGCAGGGATCACACAGATGGGGTCGGCCTGACACTGCTGCCCTCTGCTGGCCATGCACAGGACTGCAAGCAGCACAAGCGCCAAGCAGCCCCTTCCCAGAGGACTAAGGGACCAGTCTGGGGCAGTAGAGGTTCATTCTGGGTTTTGTTTGTTTGTTTGGTACTTGGGATAGAACCCAGGGCCTCCGCACTTAGCCATGTCCCCAGCCTTTTCTCATTTTAATTTTGCCACAGGGTCTCCCTAAGTTGCTCAGGCTGGCTTCAAGTTCACCATCCTCCTCCAGCAACCTCTGGAGTAGCCGGGATCACAGGCATGTGCCACCATGCCCAGCTGGAACCTCGGGGGGCAAGACGGCAGCCTGGCAGTGCCAGCCCAGTCCTTTGAGTCCAGTGTGCCCAGCACTGAGCGCCGGGTGTGTGGTGTACAGGGCCGAGTCCTGGCTGGGCACTCACTCCCCATGCACATGGGCCTGGTGGCCTCAGGATGGCGATGCTGCCGGTCTGGGTTTCTTCCCTCTGTGCTTGAAGCTGCGCAGCGGATTCTGGGTCTTCACCTTCTACGGGGCAGAGTCTGGGTTAGTGGAATGGCAGACAACTGTCCCCGCAGAGATGGCACAGCAGGTGGTGCTGGCACATGGTACATCCCATGAGCCAAGAAGCAACAGCTGCTGAGGATGCAGAGGGAGGACAGCGGGGGACAAAGTGGGCCTGCATCCCACAGACCCCTGCCCCAGCCTGGGCAAGACGCGCGGACATCCTGGTGACAGCAAAGGGACAAGGTGGGGAAAAGCCCGCTGCTGTCCCCACAGCCCCAGGACGTACCTTAGCCTTCTTGCCAGAGAACAGCTTCTTCCGCTTCCTGTGAGTGCCAACAAGGCCACGGAGAGCCGGGGGGACTGGAAGAGGCCAGACCTCGCCAGTCACCCCTCCACCCTGAAGCTCCAGCCTCCTGTCACCCCAACCCTGAGACCTGGTCCCCAGAATGCAAGGGCTCCCTGCCCCCAGCCAGGCTTCCCGGTGCTGTGTTCTCGGCTGTGACACAAGTGACACGGGGATGAATACTCCGCCACACCACCGTCCACATCACTCTTCCGTGGAGTTTAAGTGTGTGGCAGCAGTGTGTGACAAGAACAGGCTGGAGTGGCGCTTGGGGCAGAGTGTGCTTAGTGAACAGAGCTGAGGCGAGAGGTGGCGAGATGCAGGGAAAGCACAGGCCAAGGCGACCTCTTCACACGTGGCCCTGCGACAATTCACAGGCCCCACCACCCAGTCCATGCCAACACTGGACTCGTGCCAGGACCCTGGCCCATCCTCGGCCCACAGAAAGGCACTTGGCCACACTCTGAGACTGCCTAGTCTGCTCCACCTGTTTCCTCAGCTCCCTCCCACACTCACCCAGGTAGTCAGGGACGTGGCCCAGATGTGGCTTCACCACCGCGGGGTGCAGGGGCAGGTCATGCCGCAGCAGCTGCAGGTCCCGGGGGTTGTCCTCAAAGTACGTCTGGTAGGGCAGAGCTTGGCAGGTCAGCGTCTTTCTTACTTCACACATTGAGTTTTTTGGTTTGTGATTTTATTTTTGGAGTGGTGAATGAAGCGGTGGGGATCAAACCTGCATGTGCTAGGGGAGTGCTTTATACTAAGCTACACCCCAGGCCCATTATTTTTTTATTTTTTGGTACCAGGAATTTAACTCAGGTCCTCGTGCTTGCGCAGCAGGCGGTGAAACCACTGAGCTAAATTCCCTGCTGGGCCCATTATTTTTTTAAAGATAGGGGTCTCACTACATTCCCCAAACTGGTTTCACACTCCTGGAATCAAGTGATCTTCCTGTCTCAGCCTCTTGAGTAACTGGGACTACAACCACACCAAGCCAGACTGAATCTCTGAAAGGACATCAGACCCATGTGCTTTAAAGTTTAAAAGGCACAACGTGACACTGTGTAGTCTTCCTGCCACCTCTGTCCGTCACTGTCCCCACCCAGAGGTGGCTGCTAATACTGCTCCCTGTTCCCATCTGAGCCGGTTAAGCTCTCTCTCCTCTGTGTGCAAACAGTGCCCCATGTGGCTTTCCCCTGGGGTCACATTGTAGCAGCTCACACAGACACGCAAGCACCCCCACCTCCCACGCTGTGTAACCTTAGCAGGTGGATGCCGGGCTGCACCATCTTCCGGGCCCAATTACATGGTGAGGAATGCAGCCTTGCATGTGACCCTGCACACTGTGCCCGTGAACTCGGAGAGGCCTGCCACGCAGCTGTGCTGACCCCATGCCCACCTCACCTTGAGCTTCTCAGAGTGCAACAGCTCCTCCTTGATCTCCTTCAGCCTCGCCTCCCGGATGGCCTGCTTCGTCACCGAGCGCATGGCATCCTGAAGGCAAACACCGTTAGTCAGCCAGGGGACGGGACGGACACACACGGACACGACACACACACACACACGGACACGACACACACACACACGGACACGACACACACACACACACACACCCCCACACCCACACCCACACACACCCACACACACACACCCACACACCCGAGTCCAGCTCACCCTGCAGCGATAACGGAAGCCCTCAATCTCCTCCATGTGGAACTGGTAGGGAAGCAGGACAGGAGCCGACCCCTCTGGGGAGAAAGGAGCAGGAAGGGCTCAGGACAGGGTCATCATCTCCATGGTGAGATGCCAGACACTCATCACTGCCCTTGGTCTCACAGGCAGCCCAGTGGCGCAGCAGACAGGGTGTACCACGCCTTCGGGCCAGCTGCTGTCACTGTGCTGGAGCAGCACGGCAGTTACACACCGATCCGGAGGCAGACAGTACAGAGTTTGGACAAATCACCTCTCCCACAGCTCGGCATGAGACGCCCTTAGGGGCTGCCGTGGGAGAGGCCAGCCCCAACCCAACTGGGCCCCTCAGAGTCAGGGCGCTCACCATCACTGAGAAGCTCCTCGATCTTCCCCAACTGCAACTGCTCCTCCCGCAGCACGAAGGTCAACACTATGCCTGGGTTGTTGGCTCGAGCTGTTCTGCGACAGGAGATGGCCCAGCCTGCATCCCTGCCCTGTGGGCTCCGCTTAGCCTGCCTCACCCTCCACCATGCTCACTGCACAGGGCCTGGACCACCGCCCTCCCAGTCCGCCCTCCCAGCCCGGCCTACCTCCCAGCCCGGTGGATGTAGGCCTCAGGAGTGGGGGGAAGGTCAAAGTTTAGCACTGCAGACACATGGTGGAAGTCTATGCCCCGGGCCACACCTGCCTCTGGGTCGGAGGCCCTGTAGAGACAAGTCAATGTTAGGCCGGGCCTTTTCTCCTCAAGGAGGGGTTCTTAAGCTTAACCAGCAAAGAATCCTCCAAACAAAACTGAAGACCACAAGACCCTGCTATATACACCAGACCATTCTTCAGCAAAACCATTCAAGGAGGGCCGGGGATTTAGCTCAGTGGCACCATGCCTGCCTTGCAAGCACAAGGTCCTGAGTTGATTCCCAGTACCAAAAAGCAAAACGAAACACCATTCAAGGAACAGAGTGTGGTGATCCACATTTGTGATCCTGAGGCAGGAGGATTACAAGTTCAACCACAGCCTGGGGAACTTAAAAGAGATTTCGTAAGACCTCTGTGTGAAAAACAAAACAAAACAAAAAACCCTCAAGATGCCAGGTGTGGTGGTGCACACCAGTAATCCCAACACTTGAGAGGCTGAGACAGAGGATCACTTTGAGCTCAAGACCAGCCCGGGCTACGCAGGAGTTGAAGGCCAGCCTGAACTACATAGCAAGACCCTGTCCTAAAAAACCAAAAGCCTCACAATTGTTCCAGGGGCCGGGGCTGCAAACCACTGCTAGTGTGCCTGAATAGCAAACCTATGTGCTCTGGGTTCGATCCTAGAACTACAACAAACAAACAAACCCTCCCGGAAGCAGGGCTGTAATGGTTGGCCTGGAATGCTGACATGGGCCTGGGGCCAAACCCTTGTGCCAACCTCAGGTGAGGGCAGCAGCAAGACTCCTGCCCCACAGGGTGGCCTGGGACTCCCCCTGGGACAGTGACTCTTTGGCCAAACCAGGGGGCTTCACTTTTCCCCAGAAACATGCTCCGGGCAGCTGCCAGCCACTGCCTACTGCAGGCTGGGCATCCTCTGGCAGACAGCAGGCAACAGTGACCTGGCTGGCCTGACCGTGCTGCACACACAGTAGGCACCCTTCACACACACGCACGCGTCCCCATCCCCATTCCCTGTTCCACAGCCAGGCAGCTAAACGAGGGCCACGGGGCTCTTTGGGCTATGCCACCAAGCACCTGGATGACACCTTTCTCTGTACACTCTGCCTTGTTCTAAAAAAAAAACAATTAAGTCCAGGAGTGGTGGCACACACCTATAATCACTTGGGAGGCTGAGAAAGAAGGATTGCCAAGAACCTGAACTACACAGTGAGTGTAAAAAACAAAACCGAAAAACAAGCCTCTCTGGGGAGGGTGAATGAAAGATGAGAAATGTGGACTCACTTGTCTCCTTTGGACTTTCGGCCCCACTGCTTGCCCTTGCCCGGGGGCCCGAGGACTTCAGCATCTGTTGCTATGACACAATCGTAGAGGCCTTGGTTGAACTGAGAGATGATGTGGCACCTACAGCCCAAGAGGGTGGTCAGCCCAGTGGGCACACTGGAGCCCCGCCCACCACCTCCTGCTTCCTCCTCCCCTTAATCTCTCTCCCCTCTTTAACTCTGGGCCTCAACTTCCCCAGGTGAAAATGGAATAAAAGTGGATATTTCAGGATTCTGCGAAATAGCTGTGAGCCAAGTTCAGAGCCTGGCCTCTAATACGAGTTGGTGGGACAGAAACATCAACCGGGTCCCTTCCTGCACCTGCTTTCAACCATCCCCACCAAGACTCAGCTGTACACACCTGGAGTGCAGCGGAAGCTCACCATTGAGCACACAGGTAGGGATGCTGAACTGCTCCAGGAAGAGGCGGAGCCGGTAACTCCGCTCCAGAGTGTTGACGAAGAGCAGGGACTTGCCCCGAATCAACGACAGCTTTAGCAGGGCATAGAGCAGCAGGAACTTGTCTTCCTCAGTCTCACAGACCACCTGAAACTGCTGTAACTGGTCTGGCCCTGGCAGCTGGGACTCCTGTAACTTGAGGGTAACCTGGGGAGAGAACAGGCCTGTGGTCAGGGAAGAAGAAGACAGGCGCTATGGCCACTGGGTCACCAACCAAACCATGGACATTTCTGTGTAGAGCAGAGACGTCTTTAAGGATTTCTAGTGTGCCAAGATCCCTCTAGTTTTATAATCTAAGAACTCGAAGTGCCCTAACTGACGCAGTGTTTACAACACAGAGTATACATACAGCACTTGAAACACAGAACAAAAAGAAACACTGATATGATGCTACCAACCAGGGAAGGCCAACAGCAACCGGTCTTCTGAAGGGCAAAATTTACAAAAGGTGAAAACATTGCCCTTGTAATTTTGGCTCTGCCACCCAAAGCCGTCCCATAGGGGTTAGGAGTCAGGGTCCCGTTTAAGTTTCGAGGCAAAGCGGGGGACATCTGAGAATATCTAGAGATAGGGCCTGGCCATGTAGTTCAGGTTGGCCTTGAACTCCTGATGATCTTCCTGCCTCAGCCTCCCCAGTGCTGGGTTACAGGCAAGCGCCACCACACTCAGCTGATGCTGGCTTTCAATGTCTCACAACCAGGAGTGACACAGCAATGACAACGGTCCCACCCAAAACACCAAAGGTTCCTCTGAGAAGGAGCGTTGAGTCCTTCAAGTGTCCCTTCGCTACAGCTACAGCCATGCACTGAGTCCCTCTTACCGGGTTATGCAGTACCAGTTCCTTCAGGGCCTGCACATCTTCGTTAAAAGTAGCTGACATAAGAAAAGCCTGGTAAATCCGGGGCAAGTGACTGAAAGAAAAAAAACAGCCCATGAGGCACCAGCTCTGAGGGCCTCTAAGTGTGGCAGCTGTTTCCACCCATGCCCGCTCTCCCCACTCCAAGTCTCTACTCACTGACTTTCCTACTAGGAACCACCCCCACCCCTTACTTACCAGAGAAGATTCTTCAGTTCTTCCTCAAAGCCAAAAGAAAACAGAAGATCAGTTTCATCCATCACCAGCAGTTCCAGGGAGTCGCGCAGTTTCAGGGTGTCCTGCTGCAAGTGGTTTAATATGCGGGACGGGGTCCCCACGACTACATCTGGCTTCTCCATCAGCACAGCTCTGCAGGTAGCAAGACATCAGTATTGGGCAGGACAAACTCAGCAGCCAGAACCTCACCCTGGACCTGCCCTCTCTTACCATGCACAAACCCAGCTCTGTTCCCTTACAGCTTTCACCCACCTCTGTGAGGCTGAGTCTTCAGCAGCTGACACATTGGCCACCCGCACATCTCGAGCACAATAGGCAGCAAGCTGCTGAATCATGGACTGGGCCTGCCGTGCCAGCTCCTTGGTAGGAACAAGGACAAGGCCTCTCACAGCCTGTTCCACCACAGGACCTGTCTGTAAGAGCAAAAACCAAACACAGTAGCCAGCAGGCATGTCACTGGGTCTGCCTGATGTTTATCTCTACTCTTTCCAGGTCAACCCAAGCACTGGACTACAAAAGCTTAGCCTCGTTCTGATCAACCCCTCCCTCTGCCCATCTCAGAACAGAATGGAGGGCTTTCCCAGGCCCTGACATTCGAAAATAATTTGCTTTATGGTTACAGGTCACCTGCAAAGCATAGGTACTAAAGCGGACTCTCACAATAACTGTTGAAATAGAAACTGGAAAGGTACCTCCTCTTTGTAAAAGAAAGTAATTTATCCAAAATTTACACCCAGGCCGGGGATTTAGCTCAGTGGTTTCACCGCCTGCTGCGCAAGCGCAAGGACCCAAGTTCGATCCCCGGTACAAAGAAACCAAAAAAAAAAAAAAAATTTACACCCAGACTGCTGGCAGTGGCAGCAGGACCTGGATTAGTATCAACTCCAGGCCAGAGCGTGGGCCACACGGGACCAGCCCGATGTGCAGGAGGCCGAGAGAAAACTTGGCACCTCCTTCCCTCACCCCTTTGGGTCTTGCTTCCCTTCTCCCATTGGCGCCCCAGCGACCCACCGCCTTCCGGTGGAGCAGCAGCTGCAGCATCGGGATAGCGTACGCGGCCGTCTTCCCGGAGCCCGTCCGCGCCCGAGCCAGCAGGTCCTTCCCCTCCAGCGCCAGCGGAATGGCCTTTTCTTGAATCAGCGTGGGCCGCGACCAGCCCTGGTCGGCGATGGCCTAAAAGAAACACGGAGCGCGGCTCAGGGGGCGCGGACGGCGGTGGCGCGCCCCACGGAGCCTGTGGGTGGATCTCCGGTCCCCAGCCCTCCCGGTACCTGCAAGAGCCGTGGATCCAGGCCCATGTGTTCGAAGCCCAGACTCTCCAGGTCCGCCATAGTTCCACAAAGACAGTGAGCACGCGCAAAAACACGCCAGCACGTGGGGGCGGACCAATGCGTCGACCAATCAGCTTCGGGGAAACCGGCTCTCCCCGGAAGTGCTTGCTGTAGGCTTCCGTCGTACTAGTGGCGGTCTGCGGCTGCGTAGCGCTCTGCACCGCCCACACCCTAGTTCCCCGACGCTTCCGACCCGTAGGTAGCGTTGGGGGGGCTTTCTCTTGCCTGATGGTTAATAGTCTGGGCTTAGGTCCTTGGCTGTCCTTGAGGGTAAGGCGGTGGTTTGGGGAACCCACACAGGGCCGCAGCCGGGCCCCACGGGTCAGAGGTCTCCCTGGGGTAAGAACAAGGTTATCAGACTTAAGCCCCTATCAGGAGCTATTAAATAGTAAGAAAAGAAATACAAGTGGAGACTACCTGTGATCTAAAGAGGCCAGGCCTGTACCACGTAGTGAGACCTTGTTTTATTTTTTTGATGTTTTTGTACCGGGGATCGCACTCGGGACCTTGCCCTTGCGAGGCAGGAGACCTTGTTTTAAATGAACGTAGGAAAAGATCAGAGTGGCTTTGAAGATAGAAAATGGGCCACAAAACAAGCTGCAGTACCAAAGAGATGGATTATTATTCCTTGAAGTCACCAGACCCCTGTGATTACTTTAGGCCCAACCAAATAATCCAAGATAAGCAACTAGTTTGAGTTATCTGATTGTCAGCCTTAATTCTTTGCCACATTAGGTAACATTCAGATTTGAGGGACTAGGGTACAGACACATTTTATGGGCCAGTCTTCTGCCTACCACCTAGTACCCAAACAGCCACTACCAAATCAGACTGGCCCTGAGTTACCTAGGAATCTACACTGAGCTTCCAGGGTGAGTCTGTGCATCCAGCTGACATGGCCCAGTGTCTGCATATCAGGAACTGGGATCCAGTTAGATTAAAAAGAGAGTAGCCTGGGCTGGGGATTTAGCTCAGTGGTGTTGCCGTCTGCTGCGCAAGTGCAAGGACCTGAGTTCAATCCCTGGTACAAAAAAAAAAAGAGTAGCCTGTGCACCCCAAGTTGGGACCAAATGACAAAGATGGGTACTGCCAGACTGTGACAGCTGAGGAATGGAGCTTCAATAAAAGGGGTAAGAGTAGGTGCCTCCCAACCCACACTTCCTTTTTTCTCTTTTTTTCCTAGTCTTGAAGATTGAACCTAGTATGCCAAGCTAATGTCTCCAGCTGTTTCTGTTTTTGAGACATGGTCTTGCTAAATTGCCCAGGCTGGCCTCAAATTTATAATCTTCCTGCCTCAGCCTCCTGAGTAGCTCAGATTACAAATATGCACCAACACATTGGGCTTTTTCTTTTTAGTGTGAGGAAGAAGGTTGTTTTGTAGGGATATTGTAGTTTAAGAAAGCAAGAATGTTGGTTGGGTGTGGTGGTACACACCTAAAATCCCAGCAGTCGGAGACTGAGGCAGGAGGATTGCTGCAAGTTTGAGGCCAGCCTGAGCAACACAGTATGTTCAAAGCCAGCCTGAACTACATAGTGAGACCCTATCTCAAAAAAAGGGAAGAATGTCAGACTGGAATCAAGGGCGATGCTAGGGGGAAATCACCAAAATTCTTTGGGTTCAGCCTAACCCAAAACTGCATAGTGAGTTCAAAGCCAGTCTGAACTATGTAGTCAAACCTTGGCTCAAAGAACCAAATAAATAGGTACAAAAATATTAAGTGAGCCAAGCATGGTGGCACATACCTGTAATCCCAGCACTTGAGAGGCTGAGGCAGGAGGACTGTTGTGAGTTCGAGGCCAGCCTGGGCTACAAAGTGAGTTCCAGGCCAGCCTGAACTGCATAGCAAGACCCTGTCTAAAACAAAAACAAAGAAATATTAAATGAGAAGCCAGGTGTGATGGCACAATGCCTATAATTGAAGCACTTGTGAGGCTGAAGCAGGGGGTCACAAGTTTAAGGCCAGCATGGGCTACATAGAAAAACTATCTCTGGGCCGAGGGTTTAGCACAGTGGCACTGAGCCTGCCTCGAAAGCGCAAGGTCCTGAGTTCAATCCCTGGTACAAAAAAAAAAAAAAAAAAAAAAGGAAAAACTAACTCAAAAACAAAAAATAATCCAGCATGATGAGTCATGTAATTCCAGCACTCGGCAAGTTGAGACAGGAGGATTGCTGAGAGTTCAAGGCCATCCTGGGCTACACAGGGTTACCCTATAGTGACACCTTGTCTCAAAACAGTAAGAGGGCCAGGGATTTACCTCAGTGGTTCTGCCACCTGCCTTGCAAGCGCAAGGTCCCAAGTTCGATCCCAGTACCAAAAAACCCAGTAAAAATAGATACCTATATGGAATATTCTAGGACACAAAGAGAAATAACAAGGGAATTTAGTTCTGTAGGTCAGATAAAAGTAATTTAATAAATAGGATTTCAAATAAATATATAAGACGATGAAATAAGATGTCAAGAAGGGACGACTGGTCATACGAAGTTTTATACAGAAGAAGGGCAGGAGAGAAGCATACTGAGAGTTACTCAAGCTTAGGATTCGGAGCAAAAACCCAAGAACTTAATCTCAGTCTCTTGCTGATATGTGATCCACTTGGCTGGCCTTTGAGAAGGGTTAAGCAACTACCCTGTCTGGCCCCAGGAACCCTGGAGATGGGCCTGCCCTAGCAGACACAAAGGACACGTGACACCAGCAGCCCAGGCCAGGAACCTCCTGCTTTTCCTCTCCCCTCTCCCCACAACCTCTGATTTCATCTCAAACACAGCTATTATAACACGCTTTATTTCGGTGGAAAAAACTATATAAAGAACCAAATCTGGTTCCCTTAGAAAAACATTTACCAGAGCTTAAATAAGACTTAGGGAGGCCAGGGATTTAGCTCAGTGGTTGGATCGGCTGCCTTGCAAGTGCAAGTTCCTGAGTTCGATTCCCGGTACCAAAAAAAAACTTAGGGAAGAGGCAGGGTCGGCACTCACTGCCCGTGCCGGTTCTGTCTCCATCTTACCTCTGACACCAAGGCCCTGTGGGATGGGATCACAGAGAGAGCTTTGCTTGGCCTTCTGAGAAGCCATGTCACATGGCCTTGACAGCACCTGTGTCAACTGCTTTCTGGCCCACAGGCTAGTGGAATCCTGAGAGCTGCCATGGCCATTATTAAAAATGTGAACAAACACAATACACAAGGACTGGATTGGTGTTTTCAGCTAATTACAAGCAGTAATACTGCAATTAGAAAGAAAATATATAATTTATCAAAAAATAGTTCTAATATATAGAAAAACATCTCAGTCCTCTGGGGCGAGACTTGCCCTTATTTACATTCACAAAGCCATTGAGGTAACTCGGGCCTGGCCAGGGACAGTGAGGCAGGGCCTACTACCTAACCTAGTAAAAGAGAAAATGGAAAGTTCTGCTCATTTTGTGGGAGAACAAAAGGGACTCCACGGAGGCAAAAGAAACAAGACTTAATCTTGGGTGAGTTCCACTTCCTCACAAGCCCTAAAACAGATTTTGAAAGATTGGACCAGTGTCCTTGAGAACCAGGGTTAAACAAGTATCTGATCTGACTGGTTTGTTGCCACGGTGCCAAGGTGATATATCCTTTTCCCTCTCCCCTCTCCAGCAAAAATCCAGATGGCTGAAGGAGGAGGTGAGGGAAGTACCAAATAACTGAGGCAGAAAGGAAGGCTATATGGAGAGGGTGCTACACCAACTTCTTGGCCTCGAAGAAGCTCTTGAGGTGACGCATCTGCCAGATGCCAGTGACGATGAGGATGACAGTCTGTGCAATAGACCACCACAGCACCCTCTGGTTGGTGCTCTCGCTGGTCAGACGGAAGCGCTCTTCACGATACTGCGAGGGGCGAAGGGCACAGGGTTAAAGGAGCTGGAGAAGCAGTCCTGGCTGTCGTGAGGTCCCTCCCTGTGCATGACCACTCAGCTCCAGGACCAGAACACCACCTGGGAGTCCATGAGGGATGCCAGTCTCCCCACAGGGATTGCCCCAAGGAAGGGACGGTGCTGTCCCTCCACAGGCCCTCTGTTAGGACTAAAGTCACGCTCCTGCCATTCAGCAAGAGCCAAGGGAAAAAGGCAATAGCTATGACTGTGAGCTGTCTCCTGTACACACTGTCTTGTACAGCTTAAAAATAAACTAAAGCAAAATGGGATGTATACAGGTAATGGAACACTGGTCAGCCTCAGAAAGGAAGGGAATGGAACACTCACTACAATATAGACGAACCCTGGGGACATTTGTGCTAAGTGAAAAATTCTGCCCTTTGTGAAGACTTCTGTCCTTATGATTCAGAATCACAGAAGCAGAAAACAGAACAGGAGCTGGGGGAGGAAAGGAGAATAATTTCTTTTTTGGTACCAGGGATCAAACTCAGGTCCTTGCGCTTGCAGGGTAGGCGGCGGAACCACTGAGCTAAATCCCTGGCCCCAAGAGAATAATATTTAATAAGTACAGATTTTCTGTTTGAGGTGAAATTTTGTGAAAATGGTGGAAGTTGCACAATAACGTGAATGTACTTAATGCCAGAGCTGTGTACTTAGTCTTTTTTTTTTTTTGGTACCTGGGATTGAACTCGGGTCCTTGCGCTTGCGCAGCAGGCGGCGAAACCACTGAGCTAAATCCCTGGCCCCAGAGCTGTGTACTTAGAGACAGTTAAAATGCTCAATTTTACGTGTATTTTATCACAATAAAGCAAGCCAAGTGTTGAGGGTGTGATCCAGTGGTACAGTGATTGCACCTCACATGCAGGTGAGGCCCTAGGTTCCTCAAAAAAGATGCTGGGCATGGTGGTGCACACCTGTAAGCCCAGAACTCAGGAGGCTGAGGCAGGAGAACCTCTGCTGCTGAATTCAAAGCCAGCTTGGGCTACATAGCCAGACCCTGTCTCAAAAAAACAACAACAAAAACCCCAACTATCTAGACTGAAACTCTCCATTCTAGCTCTGAAGAGCTGATCTTCTAGATAGTAAAGCCCTCAAGCAGAAACTTGGAATAGGTACAGTGGGTATAAAGAGCAAGTGCAAGGAGACATTCCCTTACCCTCTGGTAATCCTGCTCCTTTTGAATCTGTTCCACCTGATCCAGCAGCTGGCGGGCACGGAGCTGCAGCTCGGTCAGCTTATCCTTAGCTGCGATCTCGGGGTAATTATTGGCATGCTCCCCGACCTGGATGTCCAGGTGCACTCGCTGCAAGGAAACAGGAGCGTCTGAGCAGTGGGCCCCGATGTTTGTCCCACTCTACTGAACCCACGTGGTCGTGGCTGGGGGATAGGAGGACAACATTTTTCTCCCACTTCTGACTGTGTTATGAAGTGTCACGCATGATAATGGCGACAAACCAAAATCTGAAGCTATTCCAAGTTGAGGCCAAGAATTCCTCTTACCAGCTTGCCCCCAGCGAAGAGGGCCATCCTGGTGGAGTTGGAGTGCAGGCAGATCTGATGCTCACCGGGTGTGTGGGAGGTGAACGTGAAGCGGCCCTCGGAGCCGTACTGCCGGGACAGGACCACCTACAACCACATCAGTGTCGGCCACCTTTACCATGACCTCTGAAGTGCAAAGTCAGGTCCCGAGGCCGCGACGCTGAGCCTGCACCCCACAGGGACCTGCATGGGCACCCTCACCTTGCCGTCGGGGTCCTTCACCTCCACGTGCATGCCCAGGCCAGGGGTCGAGGGCAGGAAGGCCTCCTTCTGCTTGTCCCACATCTGGGTTCGGTAGTTGCCTGCGGGGCAGACACACAGTCACGATCCGGTCCCTGGCTTTGTGGCCCGGGGCGCTGGGTAGGGGACCTGGCTCCTCCGGGCGCCCTCAGGCCGGGCCTGGGTGGGGGACGATCTTGCGGGGCTCGGAAAAGGGGCGATTCTGAGAACAGGGCAAAAACAAAGGGCCGCTCCACCCTCAGCCCGCCTGACCGATGACCATGGTCTCGTCAGGGATTTCCTCGATGAAGCAACGCTTCTCAGTCTCGCCGATGTGGAAGTAGAGGCCGCGGGCGCCTGCGGCGCACAGAGTGAGGAAGAGCAGCACTGGCCTCCACATCTCCCGTAGCCAACCGACCCAGACACCTGCCATCGCGCCTCACCTCCCAAGCGCATGCGCGCCCTTGGACCCTGCTTTGCGCTTGCGCCCCGCCTCAGCGCAGCCACACAGCCCGCGAGAGGGCGCCTGCGCAGTGACGTCCACCCTCCGTTTCCCAATCTTCCTTCGCACAGGTCGCTTACTGCTTTGCGCCTGCGTGCTGCCCCTGCAATGCCACTAACCGTGGAGAAAGTTCCTGCGCAGTGGAGCCTGCCCACCTCAAGGTTCAGCGCCCCGAAGCGCACTGCGCGTGTGCGCTGCCCTTGCCCAGGGACTCCGGAACAAGGGAATCCGATTCTGCCGAGACCCGGAGACTTGTTGCCGCGTTGGGCGGCACCCATGCCTCGCTTGGCTATAACAGAGGCCTAGGAGGTTTTCCTTAGAGTGGCTGGTGTGCTTGCCCCCACCCGTTTACCCAGTGAGAATGGGACGGAGCGGACTCCTCTCTACGAGCCTTCCCAGACCGCGGGTCACCAGAGCTTGGGATCCTTTGTGAGACGCTGAGCGTTGGCTTTTGGCAGGAAATCTCCCGGTTTGCGGAGGCAGCATTTCGCTCCCCTTCGCCTGCTGGAATGCCAGCGTGCAGCGCTCAGGTTTACGCTGTGTGAGCTCTGTTTGCCTTCCTAGAGGACTCAGGGCTGTGACCGGGTCCCTTCACAGCTTCTCGGCCTCATTCTCCAACCTTCGTGTTCAGAAAAAAAGTACAACTAATTTACCCAAGCTGGCCTCAAAGTCAATCTTCCTGCCTTAGCCTCCCAGGTGCTGGGCTTCCAGGCACGTGCCACTATGCCTGGGTGCTGTTGGATAATCTTAAACAGATTCCATTCCCCACTGCAGAAAATTTACTTTAGGTAATCAGCTTTCCCCCTCAAAGGTGGTGAAGCACCTGGCACAGTGGTAAAAGCCTACCATTCCAGCTACTCAGAAGGCTGAGGCAGGAGAATCACAAGTTCAAGCCCAGTCTGGGAAATTTGTCGACTTATCAAGATCCTGTCTCAAAATGAAAAATAAAAGACGTTGGGGATGTAGCTCAGTGTGAAGGTCCTAGGTTCGATCCCGGGGGGGGGGGGGGGGATGTAGCAGGGCAGTTGCTGCCAATATTTCTCCAGGCTTTGTCTAGGTTGGCTGCACCTTCCTTTACATACAGGAAGCAATGTATGGTGCACAAGCATTTGTCTTCAAAGGGGAACACAATGGTGACCAAAACACAGAAGTCCTTGTCCTGACCAGGTCTGCTGATAACACAAGATAAGTAAGTAAATAAACAGAAGCTCAAGAGGAGATAACTAAGAAGAAGGGGAATAAAAAGAACTGAGATTAAAAAAAAAAAGAACTGAGATATGTATGTACACATCCAACTCCCAGGAGGACTGTGAACATCACACATGCAAACAAGGACTATAAACATTTTTTTTTTTTAATTGTAAGTTAGGGCTGGGGATTTAGCTCAGTGGCACTGTGTCTGCCTGGCAAGCTCAAAGTCCTGAGTTCGATCCCCAGTACTGGAAAAAAAAAAATTGTAAGTGTCAGAGAGAAGAGGCAACCCACTTTCCAGGGCCCCTTCTGTCTCTCTTAGAGGCTTTCTCTCAATAAACTCTTCCCACTCTAAAAGAAGAAAAAAAAATGTCAAAGAGGAGAATGAGGCAAGGAAGGGCAAGGGGGTATGGTGGGTTACATGGTGGCCCCCAGACAGTATGTCCGTGTCTGACTCCCAGAACCTTTGAATGTGACCTTAACTTAGAACTTCTGCAGGTGTGATTGGGGATTTTGAAATGTGATGATCTGGATTTACTAGCGGTGGCTTAAATCCAGTGACAGAAACCACTCACCCCTTCGGTCAACTGCTAGCTGCAATATTAAAGCAAAAACAGGGGCGGGGGATTTAGCTCAGTGGTGCCACCGCCTGCCTCTCAAGCACAAGATCCCGAGTTTGATCCCAGTACCGAAAAACACAAAAGAGGAAATAACAAGTTTTAGAGAATTCGACACGGGACTAGCATATAATACAACTATCTCACATCTGAGCATGTATCCAAAGAAACTGAAGTCAGAATCTGGAAGAGATAACTGACTCCTGTTTTCACAGCAGCATTATTCACAATAGCCAAGAGGTGGAAGGAGTTTAGGTGATAAACAAAATGTGTATATGTAATTTATTTTACACACACACTAGGATATTATTACTCAACTATCAGAAGGGGTAAAGTGCCAGGCTTGGTGGTGCACACCTGTAATCCCAGCTATTTGGGAGGCCAAGGCAGGAGGATCATGAGTTTAAGCCCAGCCTGGGCAATTCAGTGAGACTCTGTCTTGTAATAAGAAATTTTAAAAAGGCTAGGCACAAAAGGCTAGTACTGAAAACATGTACTAATAAAAAAATTAAAAATGTAAAAGGGTTTAGGTATATAGCTCAATGGTACAGTGCTTATGAGTTCAATTTCTAGTACTACACAAAAGAGAGAAAGAAAGAATGAAAGGCAGGGGCCAGGGATGTAGCTCAGCAGCGCCCCACCTGCTTGGCAAGCACAAGGTTGTGAGTGATTCCCGATACAAAAAAAAGAACCCAGGAGTGATGATGCAGCACTGAGAAGGTTGAGGCAGGAGCATCTCCACGAGTTCAAGGCCAGCCTGCATTGCATACCAAAACCCTGTCTAAAAAAGACAGAAGAGGCCGGGGATTTAGCTCAGTGGCACCATGCCTCATAAGCACAAGGTCCTGAGTTCAACAAACTCTGTCAGGAAGAAAGAAAGAAAGAGAGAAGGTGGTATGAGAAATTGGTTCATTTGTCCAGACCCCACAAAAAATTGACTCTAGAGGCAGCAAGAACAGCGAGAGCCAGGCTTTAATGTAGCCGGACTTGCAAGCCTGGTGTCTGAGGGAAAGGAGCTCAGAGCCGGCAGCACAGGATTGACAGCCTAGCGCAGGTCCCTCCTCATTGGCTGAGAGCTGTGGGAGGTACAGTCTCACGACTTGTTCACAGTATCATTGGTTCTTTATTTGGGGACTTTCCAAGAAGTGGATGTATCAGGTGACCTGGGACCACACTGATTACTGGCGCCTTACATTACATTCCGAATTATCTTTATCTTTCCCTCAAGCTCCCGCTGCCCAGGGACTCTCCAAATCCATGACCTCTGTCAGTCAGAAAAGGGTAGGGGAGTTAGAAAGACAAAGGAGGGGAAGCTAGCCAGATTTGGGGGAGGCACCAGGGAATACAGTTACCAGAAAAGCCAGCTCCCCTCACCCACCTAGCAAATGCAAAAGCAGTAAGAGACATCCACCCAAGGACCCATTTAATATGTAAGACACATGCACACATGCGCACACACACCTACACATTGACACACATATGTATGTTCTTAGTGAAGTTAGGTAGAAATATTCTAGGCAGTTAGACAGGGCTAGGCCCTGGGGGGAGTCAGTGCAGAGGATGAAAACACATCACAACTATGGCTGGAGGTACATCTGTTGAAGGCCAGGCCTCAAGATAAAGACAGAATGAAAACAAACAAACAGAGACAAAGACAGAATGACCAGGCCTACATGTCTCCCCAAGGGATAAGCAATAAATTGAACCTTATACTATAACTGGTATCACCCAGTCCAATACAGTCTAGATAGACATCAGTCACCCAGTTGGGTGACCAGGACTTCCCAATCCATCTTGTCCTAAAAAGGTCCTTGTTCTTTTTTTTTTTTTTGATACTGGGGATCAAACTCGGGTCCTTATGTTTTCAAGGCAAGTGGGGGAACCACTGAGCTAAATCCCTGGCACCTTGTTCTTTTCATATACACTTGCTATGTGACCTGCTTTCCCATTGGATCAATATTACCTAAGCGTTTATACTTGTAATCATTTTTTTTTTTTGAAGACATAGGCAAACCTTTTAACTGAGAAGGAAAAGAAAATGTGACAGGAACTCCAGATTGAGAAGAGCTGAAGGGGCCCAGGTCTGACAGAGACTGGACTGACACTGAGGAAGGTGAGGAGCCAGCTTTGCTGGGGTACATGGGCGGCCAAAGGCCAAGTTGATCATAACCTCGGCTCTGGTTCTGTGAGCTGGCTCTGGAGAGGTCTGTGGCTGGAGAAGGCGGTCCAGTTTCCAGGCAAAGTTGGCTCTGCTTTGGAGAAAGGCTGTGCCATGGTGGTCTGTCTGTGAGGCTCTGCTGGAATCTGAGGTGGATTTGGGTTTCTAACATATACTTGTAATCTTATTGGTTGATCATAATTCTGACCCACGTTGTACCCACCTTGTGATTTTGTTCCTATCTCGTGATTTAGCTCTATAAAACCCCCTTTGACGGGGGGCCAGGGATTTAGCTCATTGGTTCCAGTGCCTGCCTCACAAGGGCAAGGATCTGAGTTCGATACCCGGTACCAAAAAAACTCCAAAAAACCCTTTGAGAAGTGGGCTCATTGACAACCCACTTTTGGGTCCCCTCCTATCTCTCAAGAGCTCTCTCTCGCAATAAATTTTTCCTTTTAACCTCTACTGTTCCTTAGAATTTATCCTTTTAGTTAATACAAACAGTGTATCTGACATTTAGCAGGTTGGGAGATCCTACATCATTCTCACTTTAACATCAGTATAATATTGCACCAGATACACACACGTACATATGTCCCCTTTACTTAAGCATTAAGTGAGTTGCCTTCCTAAGAAGCCCTCCCCCTTTATGAATTCATCACAAAGGAACCGGAAGAAACCAAATGGCCAGAAGGCCTAGGTTAGGGTCAAAGACAGTCAAGGCAACAGATCAGATAGTGACAAGCACCCACTTAGGGGACAGGAAAGATACTAGTCCCTAGGAAAAGGAGGCAAGGGAAAGAGCTGGAAGGCTTTCAGCTCTGAAGCCCCCTACCACCTCACAGTAGCTGTCTATCCTCTTTCTTTTTTCCAAAAATAAACTTCCTTTTTTTTTTTTTTTCCTTCGGTATAGGGGATCGAACTCGACTCCTTGTGCTTGCAAGGCAGGCAGCAGAACCACTGAGCTAAATCCCCGGCCCCAATAAACCATCTTTTGTTATACTGAACTTTGCCC